TGAGACGGCATCCGGGTCATTACCTTTTCAACTCCGTTCCGCTTCTGAGCGAAGAACGAAGTGGCACGCTCTTGCTCCTGTGGACCCGTTCACCTCATTTAATACCATGACCAGGATTCACAGAAGTGATGTTTGCCTTCACAAAAAGCTCCGATTTATGAAGATCGCTGATAATTCTTGCATTTATAGTTATCAAAGACGTTGACGGTGTTTCAATTTTCCACTTTTCAGATGTCACTTACCTCATCGACTAGGCAGGCAGAGGTGAAAAGCTCGCAAACAGCACGAAAGGTATCTGCTAAGAAGCAGGCTGAAAAGGGCGCCAAAAATACTAAGCCTTACACCGACAGACAGCTAAAAACAAAGTGGAAAAGCTACACAAGTATGTTTTATCACCCTTTCTTTTGTTAGAATAATATAGGAAAATGAGACAAACGATGCTAACTCAGTTGGAACCTACTGCTTAGTCATGCTGTACCATGCATGCGACTCTACCAACTTCGTCAAGGTGGTGGATAGAGCACCAAGCTAGTGTAGCCAATACAAACCACGGGAGTCGATCTCGTTAGCATGCACGGACCTCACGAGTAACTGGCGTTCCGGCTAAAGTGCCACCTCTGTTATTTTGCGAACAAATGGAACAATTTTCATTAATCACAGGTTCTTTCCCGCATAGATAGGATGATTTCTGGACAGTGATGTTTGAGCGCCTGATGTCGCCATGAGACCTCACTCCAATGGAATTACTGATCGGCCCACATACAGTCTTGTTCGCCGCGGACGCTCTGGGGCGTTCCATGAGGCTGGATTTGCGCAGCGCCAACCCGTTCTTCACCAACTGGCAGGCGACCACAATTGGTGGAAAACTGACTGGTGCCGTCTCCAACCCAGGCCTCCTGAAACGCCCACCATCCGAATAAGCTATGGGCGATTTTTCTGCGCCGACGCTCATTGTCTGCCACTGGAACCGAGTGCTGATTGTATGACGAGCGTAGTCGAATACGAGGAGTACAAGGAGTACAGCAGAGATCTCTTTTCAGCTTCACTCCTTAACAAATCTCATGCTCGGAAGATGAACCCTGTGATGATTAAATAGGGATGAAACAGTCAAGAGAAAAGGGGTCGAAATTGCAATGATGAAGAGAGCGGAGTGTTGCGACGCATGGCGAATGCTGACGTTGTATACTCCACATACCCGAGACGCGGTAGGCGTGGCTGCGTGCTCTGCTTGATTATGGTTCAAGATGCTCTCGTGGGAAATTTCAACTTGAGCGGGGCTTCCGATCACACACGAAGTGTCATGCCAACCGGCGGTGTTGGACGGAGAATGATTAGCAGTTGTTCCATTCGAAACCATCCAGCCAAATAGACGCAGGCCGCCACGTCGAACTGAAGGTACCGAGCCACGCCTACAATCTGTACAATTAGAGATGTCGCGGAGTATGAAGTGGAGTCGGCGCAGTAACAGCGGTCCCAACGCCAATGATAAGCGATACACTGCACAATACTTTGCGCGTCAGCGTCCCGCGGGCGACATCAGCTGTGTCCAAAAGTGTTCGAGCGTCTGGCAGCGTCAGCGCGCTGGATAACTTTAGATTGCGAATCAGCGTCTGTCAGCGTCTATGTGCCCGCAACAGGCGTCGGGACTGTGGAGAGTATGGGCGACAGGAGAGTAGCAGACGGCTGTTAACTATGGGAGAGTAGAAGGGAGCGCAGACTGCGATGTTAAAGAAATAGGCTTGTATATGCCCTGCGCTGATCATACTCTACACGGATCCAGGCTGCTTGCTGGTCGCTGGTAAACGAATGTGCAGAACCTAGATATAATTATGCTTCCTAGGCCTCGGTCGCTGGTTGCCCGCAAGCCACAAACTGATGAACGCAGTCTAGCTCCCGAGATGCTGCCGGGCCGCTGCGTAGAAACGCAGACAGAGTGGTAGACGCTTACATCGATAACTATGCTTCCTAGCGCGCTGATGCTGCCGGACGTCGAGAACCTGGTGGACGCACGCCGGCAAGCCATTCCTGTGCTTACTTTCTTACTAATTTGGCATACTTTATCGCGCTCGCAAATTTAGTTTAGGTCGCGTTCCCGCCACACTGCATTCCTGGCCAAGACCCAATGCGCAGGCAAGCGAGACGAAAGCTCTTCACATTTATGGGTAGAATAATTGGAATTCAGGAAGACACAATTGTTGCGTGCAGAGGATCCAGCTGTCGACAAACTCATCACAGAAGTGAAAGAATCTCTCGCTGCTATCGAGGTGATCCTAGCCTTTTCCTCGATGCGAGCAAAACTAGCAGTGGTTGACATTTTAGGGCTCTGAAGAGCTAAATGATCAGTAAAGGGTTGACAAAGGAAAGGATTGTATTTTTGATGGGTGACGTTCACAACGCGGTACGGTACCACTTTGTCCGCGCTCATCCAGGTGTGAACATCCACCCTGATCACGAGAAGCGGGTGTGCATCCCGTGGCTGGGAGTGGATATCACTTTGCGACGAGAACTCTCACCCTGTAGTTATTCTAGCAGACATTTTTGGGTGATGAGATGCCTAGAGTGTCCTCATAGCCGCCTGACTTGGCGAAATTCTCAAGTGGTGCACATCGGTGTTCATCGTGTTGAACTGCTTTCAAGAAATCACGTTGAGAGTACTCATTTCTTCAGAGTTCCCACTGCTTTCATGACGCTCCCACACTATAAGTAACAGTCTTATGCATAGCCTTTCTGAATGATGTTTCAGCTTCTCAACAAGCTATACAATGAAATCTACCACGAATCGAAAACACGTACCCAACGATTGCTAGACGACTTCGAGAAGCTGAAGAAAACTCGACAGGAGGTGAATTGTTATTCAGAACATTTACAGTTTATATCACCGCGACCTGCGGGTGCGGTCCCCACCTGCGACCTTCCCGCCAGGGAGATTCCTTCCTACATCGATCATTGCTCGATCACCATTGGTAGAGCAAGGCAGCCGGACGCGAGCTCGTGCCGCGCTGCGCTCGCCGCCCCCGACAAATTGCAATGTTACAAACTACATATACGTTGGAAAAAGTGGCACCAGGTCACGTCCTAGGCATGGCGTTGAGTGATTCCGGCACTATACTCTGTTTTCTAGCGCTTTCGAGAACTGGACTCGCAGATTGCTCAGCAGGTTCGCATAGAAGTCGATATTCGAAAGGACCTTGAGGATATGTTGAAAGATTCCAATTTCAAGAGTTT